TTCTCTTGGAAGAGAATTCTATTCGTGCAAAGTTGAACATTCCTTCAGACATTCGGAGAAAGGTCTTCAAACAAATGAAGGATATGTACTCAAAACATGATCTACCAAATGTAGTTAGTGAATTATGTCATCAGTGTGCAAAAATTGCAAGAGAAGAAACTCGAATGAATTTAGAAGATTCTATTGAAGTTGTTTATGATAATTTAAAGAAAAATTCTATTGATAAGCATTTGCTCAGGACTTGCCAGAAAGTTTGGGGACATGTGTAAGTATACTCCTTGTTTTCTATTTGAACATATATTTCTCAAATTAAATACCAATTCTACACTCAAATACATCAAATTTAATAGTGTGGAAAATTTGTGTACAACTTTTGATGACCCATTAACAATTGAAGATACTTATGTACACCATCTGATACATCCTATCTTGCGACCATTTTTCCCAGATAAGCCAGGGAAAACAATTAATTGGTAATTTCTATGGATTTTTAATTGTCAATTAATTTGTTTGACATTTAAAGTTTAATACTCTAATTTAACATCTATTTGTTTCTTTTTTGCAACAGGGCTAATAAGATGTCACTAGCAAGTGCATCTAGAAAAATAGATTCTGATGGTGAAGGTCATCAACCTGATTTTATGCTCACTATTGATCTTAATGGATATAACAAATTTGAAATCTTGTTTGGTCTTTTCAAATCACCTAGCAAAGCCAATCCACAATTGGTAAATGTTGACTTGGTTGATTTGGGAGTTCTCATGAAAGACTCACTTGATGATATCTATGGCAAAGGAGTTGAATTGGAAATGGTTGTCTTTGGAATTCACTCATTTGGTATCTATCATAAACAATTGTTTTCTGTTGAATATTATGATTTTTGAAAGCTAATCAATTTCTCTGGCAGGTTATAATATTAGAATTTATGCAATGGATCTGTCATATGATGGTGTGTACAGGATGTTTTTATTGGGTGAATTTGAATTGCCAAGGAGCAATCTTAGTCTTTGTTTGGTAGAAGTCATCTTATATGAAATTGTAAATTTAAAGGTAAGTTCTTTAAGTTTTTTAATATGTCTATTATACCAATTGACAAATCATCAATTCTGTTTTATGTTATATGCCAATTGCAGAGATTGATAGAAGAATTTATTGAGAGGCTTTCACCTTATGTATCCAACCATCACTAATAATAATGAGAAAACTCCAACAAAAAAGATGATGATGATGAGAAAGACATTAGCAACTCCTCAAAAGGTAAGATTTATTAATTTTTTCTCACATTGAATATTTCTAATTTCTCAATAATTTTTTCATTGCT